TTATACTCACCTTTATTAAGAGACAATAATCGATATTATTATTATGAAATTATTTAAGTTTTCTAAATCAACTAATTTTTTATAGAATAAATGAGTATGATATTTCATTTTAATGTGCGGTATTTATTTTTTATTTCTAAAACATTTGAAGATTACTTTAGAATTTTTTCACTTATTTAATTATTTTTTTTTCGTTCTATCACGCTTGCAATATATATATATAAATCTATATAAAATTGAACAGAATATATGTAATTCATAATTATTCTTTTTTTTTTTTGAAAAAGAAGAGAATTTCTTTAAAAAAAAAAATAAACGAACAATATTATAATAATTATATATACTATAAGAAATGTTTTACTTTACAATATCAAAAAAATTTTAACTTTCTAAGTTATTCGGTTACCGGTACAACCGGCCGGTTGTCATGTAATATTTATATAGATGTTTATATTCATGCATGCGTGCGCATTTAATAAATGCACTTGCTTATTATTAGATCTGTAAAAATACATAAGATAAATATACATATTTATTATTATTATTATTATTATTATTGTTAATTATATAAACGTGACATTAGAATTTATTATATAATTATGAAAATTTTATTATATAAGTATGAAAATTCGTATGTAAAAAGAAGAAAACAAAAGTAACGATATAATTATAATTAATTAAATACGTTTATTATTATAGTTGGAACAGCTGAAGAATTTGATGGAGCCTGCCAGGCTCTAGCAAAACGATTGGAAGTTGAATTAAGAAGAGCGAAGCATGTACAGTTAGCATGTGGCGAAGTTTTGTTACCTGCTGATCTTTTGCCAAGAATAGCTAAAAATGTACTTAGCATGGCTGAAAATGAACCTTGTGGTCTTAGGTAAGTTTTGATATTATGTTTAGTAGTAATATTTTTTTTTTCTCCAAGTGCATAGATATATTTTCATATATTATTTTTATTACAGAGGATGTACATTGTTTATTAGTTTTGAAACGGACAATGTATGTAGAAAACTATCAAAAATACAATGTGATCCTAATACAGTATCTACTTTTGAACTTTATTTAACTTTGAAACAAGATCATACATCTTGGCATATTCTGTTACCTCAGTTTCTAAAGTAAGTCAAATCACAATAATGAATAATAATTTATGAATATAAATATATACTATTGATTTGTTTATTTTTCTTTTTAGAAATCTTACACGAGGAGGTACTATTATGATCAGTAGAGATTTTACTTTGGAGAAAAAAAAATTATATAGATCATATCAACAAGTGTAATGAATAAGATCTGAGAATCATTGATTAATTTTCTTGATAAACATGATTATTCTAAGCTCTTCTAACTATAGGTGGGCTCCAACATGGCTATTTTTATTTTCCGAAGATGGATTTTTGTGATTTACATTTATTTTACAATATATTTGATTTAAAGGTAACCAAAATAATCAGAAAAATAAAAATAATAAAAAGAAGATAAACATGTGAGATACAAGATAGAACGAGAAGGGGCGAAATTTATGGGTTTTAACAATTGTGATAGTAAAAAAAATTGTAATACTATTAAGTCTGGAAAGTTTCTTTACGTGATATCTAGATCTTATATTGCCTAACATTCGTAACTCAGTTTGAATAGTGTTTTTTTAAAAATATAAACATATCTGATCAAATGATATTATAGATTAAAATATATTTCTTTAAATATATGTTGATATATTTTGTAAATTAATTTTAAAAACATTAGATAAAAATTTCTAGATTCTCGTAAAGAGACATTTTTTCATAAGAGATATATCTTCATTCAAAGAAGAAATGACTCGTCATATAAGACTTGTAATAATAATTTTCCTGCATTTATACGTAATAATGCGGTAAAATTTAAATCAAGTTTTGCTAGCAAGAATTATTATTCTTGCTGAATGATAAAACTAGTAGTAGTAGTAGAAATAATGTATACATGTGTTATATACTTATAAGCTTCAAAAATACCAATGGATATCTAAAGTAATTTCGTTTGATACAAATTTTGTATATTTTTCTTCTGCGACATCCTTTTTTTTATATATCGATTATTAATCGATATATATCTATATAATTTTACCCACTTATAATAAGTGGATATAGTTATATTCATTTCTTTATTTATCTACACATATACACATATATATTCAATCCTACTGAAATTTTTTTTTTCCTCTAAAAAAAATTATAATAATCTTAGGTATTGATTGGTATTAATCTTGTGATATTAATAAAAAGAAAAAAAATCGCAATTTACAAAATACAAATCTACAATTTCAAAGATTGCAACATTTATAAAATTATATATAATATATATAATATCTATAATATTAAGAAGAATAATTTGTTTAATTATCATATAATTCATTGTCATCATTTTGTATAATCATGTTATTGACTAGTTATATTTTAATTTCGAAATTTAAAATAATTTAAAGACAAAAAAAAATATAGAATAATCACGCGTATAACTTTATAAGACTGATCAGCGTTAGAATTTTTCAGACAATGTTTATACGCGTTCAAAAACAATTGAAATGATAAAAATTGAATATTGAATCACACATCGAATACGTTATAATTTGAAAAAATAGATTATGTTTATACGAGTTTCGTAAATTAAAAAATAATTATAAAAAATACGATTTTTTTGCATTTGCTAAGATAACAACAAAAACCAAGAAAAAAAGAAAGAATGCACGATGTTCGTGATTCATTTTATTATATAGGAGTATTCAGAGTATAAAATGCGGTTATATATTTTTTGTACTTCGTTAAGGACAGAAGTATAACACGGGAAAAAGAATGCGTGTATTTGCACGTGTGTGTGTGCATATATTTAATTTTTTTTATACTTAATATATCGTTAAATATTATTTGCTTAAAAAAAAAAAATATGGCAGAAAGTGAAGTAACAAAAATAGAAATTTTAAAAATTATATTTAATATTGTTTTTATTCATTTTCCTCATTTTTCAATTTAAATTTATTTAAATTATCGCGTATATTCGACTTTTTGAATTATAAATTTATTTTAAAAACTTATAATAATATATAAAGTATTTTCGTTATATTGGATATTATATTTGTTCTTTTATCATAATCTTACGTATCTATAAAATATTTAATTTTTTTTCAATTTTATTATTGATATGAATTTTAATTTGTAATTTTAATAATAAATAAAAAAATAAGAATCTATATCTTTTTACCTGTACACTAGAATTATTTAATTCATTTTATAGAATTGTTTGAATCAAGTTGTTTGGTATGATCTGGTAAAATTGTATACAAGACTTCTATTCTGAAAGATATAATTTTTCATAATTTTATAAAATTTTTTTTATAAATTATATGAAAATTTTTGAAATAATAAATAAATTTCCATCTTAATTTTTTTTTTTGAAAAATTTAAATATTACCTATTTGATAATGGCTGAAATTGCACTATTTCTTTATCATATAATGCAATTGTTTCATTTTGTTGTAAATTTTTTGATAATCGAGAAATATCTGTTATATCTTCCTGTTTATTTTTAGGATTGCTGTTAGAATTGCTCTTATGATTATTTCCATTGTATTTGAAATTTTTTTCAAAAATATTAATTTTATTTTTTTCAATATTATTTAACTTATCATTTTTATTTTCTGTTGGATTATTTACAATATATTGTTCATTCAAAGATAAAGAATAGATTTTTTTTTTAAATAACGATTTGTTTTTTTCATTTCATGAATTACATTATGCAATTTTTTTGCTTTAGAAGATGTTATTATTTTTTCTTTATTTGGTTTCAATTTTTCTGTGTTAATATGTTTTGATTTTATTTGATGTTGTTTCTTTTTGTCAACATAATGATTCGAAAGTTTTATAGAAGTTATTGATGGGAACAGCGGAGAAATAAGTATCTGTGGAGATGGTCTTTGTGTTAAAATTTGCGAAACATTTTTAAATATCCAAGAATCCATTGGCAAAGATTGGGGTTCAATATCAACAATCAAATGTATTGCTTTTCCAGTTATGTAATGAGTCTGATAAGAATCTAATGTTGAAAATACCCACTAGAAAATAAATAAGCAGAAAGCAAACAAAATAAATGAATATTAAAAAAATTTAGAAAATCAATACTCGCATTGAATAAACGAAGCCAAACTATACGGGCACATTGACTATTAAATTCGAACAGTTTCTTTTCAAAATGATTTTTCTCAAGGCCATTTGCGATTACTTCACTAATAATTTCTTCACGAATATGAGCAATTCGATGATCCTGTAATTGATCCTGTAAGAATTCTTGCCACTTCTGTTCTCGGATATTAGACGGAATCAAATGATACATGCTTATTAATTTCGTTGATAATCCAGCCAACTAAAAATAATATTGTTTTTTACATATAATGAATTCATTTTTTTTTCATTCATTAATTTCAATTTTATAAGAAAATATTGAATAATATTGGAATTAATAATATTACATAGTTTAGATTTTTTAATACATTAATTTTATAAGAGTTAATGTATAATATATTGTGTGTATGTAATTGTATCAATATTATTTTGTAAATATAACACGTTATAATTTTGCACACAATATATAATTAATTATATATAATTAAATTATATTTAGTTAAAAGTTAAATATTTCATTTATTTATTGTCTCAAAGTATTTTCTTTCTCTTCATACAGAATGTACAATAATATTGTTATATTGGATATTGATATTGAATGTACAATAATTTGCATTATAAATAATTAATATTATTGAAGAAAAATTTTTTCATAATCAAGGAAATTATATCATCATCAGTGTTTTTTTATATCTGATAATAAATTCAAAAAATGATATATATATACGCATGTTATAATATATGAACGAATTATAATTATAGATAGATTAAAAAATTCACAAAATATATTTAATATTATCCTCAAAATATAATTTATAATTTTAATTTGATTTCGATTTTGATAGAAATATTTAATGAATATTTTTTTCTCACATTGATTGCAAAAAAATGATTTTAATTATATAAAATAATTTATATTACCTTATGAAGTAAATAAATTTGAAGGGACAATAATATATTTATGATTATTTTTTTCTCGATTTCTAATTTATAATATTATTATTTAATAATTATAGTTTTTTTTTTTTTACAGATATTAATGAATATTACACAAAACGACAATTCAAAACAAAAGAGCAAATCTTTTGTACTTCAACTATTCTATATCCAACTAACATTCCTTTCGTGAATGAACACAAATGACGATAAGATGACATAAGATCATTCGATATCGTGAAAATTCACGATAAAATAATACTGATTTCCTTGTATTGATCGTGCTTTTCTTTTAGTTATTAAATGGTACTCATTCTTCTACCTCTATATCGCATATTTAATTCAACTATGTGAGAAGATAGAAAAAGAAAAATAGAAGAATACGGTAGAAGAAAAAGGTTAGAAAAAAATAGTCGAATTCTAATTGATTAACAATGAAAAATATTTCTGTTTTAATTCACGACACTATTTATGATACCACCGGAAACAGGAAGACCAGTTTCTCCCATTAAGGCCAGATCTATTTCTCTTGCGGCTTGTCTACCTTCTGTGATTGCCCAAACTACCAAAGATTGTCCACGCCGGCAATCTATGCAAAACAAAAATATTTAATATTATCACTTAATGAAATACATAAAGAAAAAAAATCATTCTATCATTTTTAATATTTTTCAAAACTAATGCAATGTATTTAAGTATTTATATACATATAAATATAATATAATTATATAAATATTTTTCTTAATAATGTAAAATGTAGAAGATTAACCGCAGTTTACATTTTTTTTCATATAAAGAAAATTTGATTTTTTTTATATGAAAAAAACTTTGATAATAGATATAACCAATAAGTTTTTTATTGTTTGAGAATTACTATATTTACAAAAATATTTCAAAGAAGATAATCATTTTTTTCAATATTTTATTTCAATAATTTTTTCAATATTTTATAAAATTTTAAATTTGATTTATTGTCATAAGATTTATTTTATAGAGATACTTATGCTATTTTGAAGTTATTCAATTTTTGGAATAATCAATATGAATATCATCAATATGAATAAAAATTTATAATAATAATTTTTGTCTTGATATTTTAAATATCATAAATATTTACATATAATATAAAATAATATATAATCATAAGTATCACTCTATTAAACTTCGACTCGAAGAAAATAAGATTAAATTTTAGTCTCGTTAGTAAATTAAAAATAAAATAATTTCAATCTTGATTTTATAAAAAGATTATTATTATATAATGCAAATGACAAAAATATTGAAAAAAATTATTTTCTTTAAAATATTTTGATAATATAGCAAAAATCAATATATTTTATCTATTTATTTTTTAAATCTAATATTATCTTTGCATATTACAATAATTAAGCAACCTTTTTAATGACCAATAGATTCATATATCGTTATTTGCTGCCTACGAATTATCGATCATAGTGAATGGTAAAACAATAGTAAATATGTTAAAATATATTAAAACGATATTTACTTGGCATTTATAATTATTATTTATTATATGTAAACATGTACTCAAATATATAGATGAGACATTGATACATTATCTTTTGACTTAGGAAATAAAAACTAAAGCGAGTATTAATTAAATAGTTAACACATAGTATTGATAATATACATACATACAAATATACAAATATATACGAAGATACATTGACGAAGATTCGAATATCTGTAGCTAGCATAACATGTTAGCTAATTTTTATGGATAGATTCAGAACACAAAAATTTTTCTATTGTCAAAGTAATTATTATTGATATGTTTTATCGAACTTGTGCTATCATTTTGATGCATCCACTTTTCAGAAATGAATCAAATTTGTTGCAAAAAATATTTTACATAGAGTAAATTTTTACATTGTATCTCGAGAAATATTGAAAATCATAAATATATTGTCATTTTGTTTCGGAATATATATATCTTAAAATCAAATGTAGAAAAATAATTTAAATGTATTATAACCAAATATAAAATTACCATGTTAGTTCCAAACATGAGCTGATCGATATTTAGATTATTTTTTGATATATATTTCAGGATATTCTAGAATTATTCCAGTATATTTGACAAAATAAAAGAGAATATGAAAAAAGAAACTATTATAGTATTATAACTATTCTAATTAGAAAGAGAAAAAGATGAAGATTTTAAGTATTTTAGCATAATACTTCAAATTTTAAATAAAAAACTGGATTTTATAACTCAAGCAGCTGATATTAAATTCTATAGGAAAATATTAAATCTATAGAAGGGAAATTATTCTAATATCTTATTTGAACAAAGAAATCTAAGAAAAGCTAATTAAATACTTGCTTGTTAGAAAGTAAAAATTCTTCAGATATGTTTATAGGAATTCGATGGATGGTATCAGTTTTCAATTTAATATAGTTTATAAATTATTTTTCAAATTGCTAAATTTACTTAATAGCACTAGATAAATTTTTTTTTGAAAGTATAAAAATAGTTTATTTTTTCATAAATCATACGGAACATTTTTTGTTAGACCATTTAATAAAGAAAATGTTTAAATTTTTTTTAATATTTTAGAAGAAATGTATAAAAAATAGAAATCTTTTTTTCATAAAGAAATACTATCCACGGTATAAATAAAATTTTATTAAAATATAAAATAAAATCTTTCATGTTATAAGAAAAGATAAAAAGTAAATAGGTTTAACAAAAGTTTCTGCAGAAAA